AAGAATGAAATTGATGTTATCAGAATGATGAGGAAAAATGAATAAAGTGATAAGCACATAGCACCTGTGTTTTGTAGTGATGAAAAGGGGGAATCATGCAGCATGAGGAGTTATGAAACTCAGTATGACAAGAGACACTGAGCATCTGTACAGGGAAAAATGATTTACACTTGTCTCGGTGCATGGTGTTTTGACTAGGAGAAGCCAGTTCATTAAGATCCCATTAAGAAAGGCACTCAAACTGTAAAGTATCACTTAACAAGCTCATTACTGGGGTTAACACTATAAAGAAAAGGATAGTAAGTGACAGGGGAGGTCAGCTTTGTCATGTTTGTTCAGCCTTGGCTGGGCAGGCCACAAGTGAAGTGGTTTTTGTATGATACATTTTTTATATGTCTTGAACATGTAGCAGTGTCATCTGAAGAGTCTTCAGTATAATCACCCAGGCCCATCTGTGCCCTTCTGCCATAGCCTCTGGTATTGTTCTTATCATGGCTTCTACCAAGGGGAGTCAAGGGGATTCTTCAAACATGTTATTCCCCCTGTTTTCATAGAAAAAGAAACATAATGTCCCTCTATTATAAAGAGATGGATTGAGTGAACTTCTGTTCTTTGAAATATATCAAAACAGGTATTTAAACAATGTAATCACTAGAAGGCTGTAGGATAATAAGTAATTAGCAGGATGAGCTTATAAAGAACAAGTGACGTAGCACTAACCTTATTTTCTTCTGTGACACAGTAATTGGCCATGTGGATACAGGAGAAGTAGTAAATGGCCTATCTTAATTTGGTCTTAGATGATATAAGCAACTTGGGGATATATAGTAAAGGAAATCTAATAACCTGGTGAATAGAACCCTGGTTAGAAAATCATATTCAAAGGATAGTTATTAATGTTGTTCTGTCAAAATAGAAGTTGCATTAAGTGTGTTTAGAAAGGTCTTTTCTTAAATCAACAATTTCACCGTTTTTACAAGTGATTTAGATGCTGAAAAAAAAATAATTTTCTTTATTACTGAAATAGTCCATGAATATGTAATGTTTCAATAAGGACAAGTATGCTTTAGGTACAATAAGGACAAGTAGTATGCTTTGAAATACTGATTTTCATGATTGAAAGAGGGAGAACAAACAGCTAGATGGCCTTTCTGGGCAAAACAGTTAGGAGATTCAGTAGATCACAAACTGAATATAATGAGAGATGCATAAAAATGTGTAAGACACCTAAAAAGTATGCATTGTAACTCTTCCAGTTAGCTCTGGCAAGACCTCTTCTGGAGCCTTATGCCGTAGGCTTGGGCAGCCCATTTTAAGAAATTGATGAACCAGAGGGAAGCAGCAAAGATGATCAAAAGTCTTAAAAATCTGAGATTGTAAGGATAAGGTTTGTTTAGTCCAGGGAAGAGAGAATTGAGGAGAGATGGGAGAGCAGTCTTTAAGTACATAGAGACTGCCATGGAAAGGATAGAAACAAATTGTTCTTTGTGTTTGTTGGAAACTGAGAAAAAATACAATGTGCTTAAACTTCAGTGTGGAAACTCAGGTCAGACACAAGGGTATGTAAGACGATTAAGTGCTGGAATAGATCCCTCAACAGATACAATACTTCAGGGCCCTTTGATGCCCTTCCAGCCTTCTTACATGGCATGAAGAATCCCTCTCTAGCAGTTCGGTTTAGGAAATGTTTTGTGTAAGTGGAACTGAGAAATGCTAGAAGGCAAGGTGCAGAGAGAAGCTCATATTTTGTATTGGATGGAGATAGCTGGGTCAGAGGAAAGTTCATGCAGGAAAGATAAGCTAGTGTGAGCAGATGGGGTCACTCAGAGGTCGAGAAGAAGAAAATGGACCTAAAATCAAATGAGGTTTTCGTAAGGTGTGAATCCCACCATGACTCCAAGTAAGAGCAGGTGGCTCACTACATTTGATACTTAAGCAATTTCCAGAGAAATCCACTGAAACTGTAAATATAACTAGAATCCCTTGACTTTTCTAATTTCCTGTCATTGCCCAAATAATGCCATCTCAATGTGGCATAAGACATTTGATAAAAGCCATCTTCAAACACTCACCATTTGATTAGGTGGCTGTCATCGGCACATTACACTATAAAAGTAAATTACATTATGCTTCATGAACTTGTTTGACAGAAGAGCTGCAAAAAGATTTTATGCAAGAAATGGTGTTTTAAGAACAAAATGTAGACTTTTGAAGAAATTCTTCCCTTTCATAGTGTTTTGAGTACATATGCTGCTCTACACATATGTCAGCTTGCTGTTAGGAAAAATTAATCCCCCATTATCTCATACATCCTTGAGCCTCTTTGGGAATTCCTGCTTTGTGCATTTGGCTGACGAAGCAACCTTTTTCTTCAAGATTCAGTATTTTATGCTGCTTACTGCTAACCCCAGCTATCCAAGGCCATGTGGTAATTCTGGTTAAAAAAAAATGAGTTATATTAGCAGAATATTTGAGGGACATTCATGATAGAATCTTAAACTTCATAAATGACCTGGGCAAGTTTGCTTTTTGCCTACTTATCTACAGTGCACTATTACCAACCTGCTCTTTCAATATAACAGTAAGCTGATAACAGAATACAAGACAAAATTACAGTGGAAAGCTACAGCTGTGCCTAAGTACAGCAGTGACTGTGTTTTACTCAAATCCAGCTAATCAAAAGATCCCCCTCTCGGATGAGCATAACCCTTCTCAAGGTGTGTTTTCATGATTAAAATTAAAAAAAACAAACGAACAAACAAAAAAACCAAACAAACCTAAAGCAGCAGGAACGGAATTTAGACCTAACTGATGATGTGAAGGCAAGTAGCCTGTACTGTGAATATGTATTTAAAAGGTTGTATTCAATGTGTATTGATGCATGAAAACTGCACCTAGACATTCCCTTCAGAAATGCATCCTTGGCTAAGTGTTTTTGCACAACAAGAATAAATTTCTCCCTCAAAGGGTTTCCAAACTAAATAAATAAGAAAGAAAAGGGATGGAAGTGTGCAGGGAAATGAGCATGTTCAAGATTCTGTGCCAGGGAACTGGAAATACTATCAGTAGCATTTCTGAGTCCCAGCCCAGTGACTCGGTGAAGCACAGTGCCTGAGGAAATCTAAGATGCGCATACAAATACTTCTTGAAGGTTGAACTGTGTCTGGCTTGCTCACAGTATTTGTTTTGTTGATTTCAAAAGGCTACTCATATGAATACAGTGAAGACAGTTTAGCCCTAGAATTTTCTAGTCTTTCATTTATTTAGGTTGCTTATATCCTTTCTTCAGTTGATGATGGATCAGCAGATCTTCTTCATAAAGATATCTCATGAAGTCTTCATCAGACTCTACCCACTTTTCTCTTTCTTTATTCTCCCTTTACACTGTCTATTCTGTTTAAGTAATTATATCAAGTTTCTGGTGACACAGAGAAATGTCTCTTCTTTATTACAGAAGATTTCTCAGTGTTACTGTTTCTCTACAAATAGTCCTTTTCCATTACTAGTATTGTTTCCTTCTGTTGAATTCAGTATGTTTCAGATTATTTTTCCCCAACATCTTAGCTTGTAAGACAGGTTCTTTGTACAGTTGCATGGTGAGATACCTGAAACTAATCTGTTTTTCAAAGGGTTAATATATCTCCATTTATTTTAATTCATAGTTCAAAAATGATGGCTTTGTTTCTGGGTTCTTTGATGGAATTAAGTACCTAAATCTGTGCTCTGCACAGTCATAGATCATGAAAACCTCAGCAGAATCATCAATATTTGTCTTTTGCTGAAAATAAGGTCACTGAGCAACATCTATGTTGCTCAATTATGTGTATTATTATTGAGTAACATTGCTATGTTACTCAAAGTAAGTACCCGTTACTAAGAGTTTCACCCATGAAATCTGCAGCACATCTGCTTCTGTAAAGCTTTTATAATGCCATGGAAAACAAAATATAGGGCTCAAACCAATGATTGTAATGACCTGGAGAGGAAAGTCTGATCCCAAATCTTATCCTTTTTCTTCTGTTTGATTGTGAAGCAATTAGTTGTTGATCTAATAAAAAATATTACCTCTTCCTGCAAGCTTTACTTTTGCATAGTGTTTAACGTGATAACTTTTCAAAGTTCTTGAAACAAATACAAGCAAAGGAAACTAATACCCAAGTATTCTGGTATCTCAAGCTTTAGTGAGACAAGAATAATTTGTTCCTCAGCTACTAATTTATTTGATAAGTGTGGCCCATAACATCATCTCTTGTAAATCTTGTGGTACCTGGAAAGTAAAAAATTACAAGACTACAGTAAGTGTATTCTTCATTAGTATGAGCAGACACAATTTACGAGTGCTTGTATTAAAAAGAAAGATGGGTTTGTTTTCCAAGGTAAGAGTTGAAGTCAAATCTGGGTTCAGCTGATGACTGGAACACGCACTCCGCAAAACTCAGTGATGTTTCCCTTAGAACCTGATTCTTCCACCTGCATGTTAAATAAAACTGTTATTCTGGCAGCTGCTTAAGGGCATGTCAGCCTGGATCCCAAGGCAGAAGAGATTGTTGAGAGAAGACTGAAAAAACTAGTTGAAGAATAAGCACTAATGAGAATGGTGGGTTAATGAGCTGAGGAACCCCACAGTGTTGTTTGGACCCCAAGTGTATTTCCACTAGAATTAGCTCACACAGACCTTTCTCAGGCCTCTTACACTGTGTTCCAAAGTAAGGTCTGAGTGGCTAACCCTGCATCTCTGAACTTTATCTTCTTTGGCACTTCAGTGCCAATCTGGAGTGCACTTGTGAAATGGATCTCTTCATAGCTCCCACTTGTGTTTGCATCAAGGGGAAGCTATGGAATATGCAAAATGACATCCTTCCAGGTGAAGTTTAGATGGGAGATTATCTAAGAGCACATCTAATGCATTTGAATTTCTAATCAGCATTCAGTCCATGGGATGTTAAGTTTGAATCCTCTGCATGGTGTTTCATTCTGCAGATCCAACTCTATTGCACTGGTTGCTAATATAGCCATAGCCAAAAAATATACCTGCTCCCTAAATCAGGACATTTTGCTACAGAAAATGCATTCAAATAAAGCAGTGTTGGGATGAATTTATCAATTATGGAACTTCACAGATTTCACTGGCATTGAATGACAGTTAATCAGTGACATTACAAAATATGCAAATCTGGATCAAATCATTAATATAGGCAAATATAGGCAAAATATTAAAGATATAAATGAAAAAGATATAAAATGACAGTTCTTTAATTGTATACCACCTCAAGAAGGTGAAATAAGTACCTTCCAGTAATAATTTATCAACTAGTGAAAACTACAAAGTTGCTATGAATTCAGAAATGTAAATATCTCTGTTAGATGAAAGCCTATAAATCTCATAAACTCTGTTATGGGAGTCACAGAATTACTCAAAAAAAAACCCCAAAAGAACATATTTACTAAAGAAGAAACTGTGTTTAGACTTCAGTTTCCCAAATCCTCGTCATGCCATTACTCATTCTCTCCTAGGAGGAAAGATCCTGAATGCAGCATGCAGAGGTTTGATAACCAAGTGGCTAGATTTGGAACAGATTTTTGAGGAAGCTTGTGTCACTTCAGTGAAGTGGCTTGAAGGATAATAGAAGCACGTCCAGTAGATCTGTGTCAGTGCAGAGTCCAGTTCTTGTGTTTGTCAGACATGTGGCCAAGAAATACTCTCACAGCCTAGGAAACTAGTTGTACAGCATTTCGTGTCTTGGCAAGGAAGGTAGCATTAAACAATCTTTGCACCTTTTAGTGACACCCCAGAGAACAGAGAAGTGTTTGGTTTAATTTAGACAACACTGTCTGTAATTTCCTAAGCATTGCATGGCATTTAACCCCCTTTGAACTTATTTCTTCTGAACTCAGAGTGCTTCTTATGCTTGGAAAGAGGTCCTAGAGGAAAAGTTTTATGGTTGCCCCTCTATATTGCTCAGGCAGTCCTACCCTAAACAAACACAGAAATTTTAGTCTGTTTACACCATCTGTCATTTTTGTTTGTTCTAAATCTTACATTAGAAAACCTTATCTTCTAAATGTAAGGTAGTGACCACATTAAAAGGGTTCTAATGTTTTGACTAGATTGCATATGCCAGTGGTCCTTATGGTGCCGTCTCAGAGGTTATAATGGAAAAAGATCATGTTTTATACAATATTCCCAGAATTATTTAATGAAGCCTATGGAGAAGATATTCTTTGATCTTTTTTTTTTTTTGTAATTATCATCATTTCTATAATAGCTTTTATAAAATTCTAACATTTTTCTTCCTTCTTACATTTTATGGCTTTTCCACACGTACCTCCTCAAGCAGACAAAAAATATATCCTGGGTGTAAGTTGTCAAGTTTGTTAGTAATGTGTGGAGCTGAACTATGCAAAGACATTCCACTTGGACTCAGAGAAAAGTCATGAAAGTTTAAATTTAACTGTGGCCTAAAATTGCTAATCATCCGAAAAACAACACCTAACCTTACCCAAAAAGATGACTTACTGTTAGTACCACATCCTGTCTTCCCAAATGCTTCTATAGCCCAGTGCTCCACTATCCCTCTCAGCTGACCTATAATTCTCTGTCCTATAAAAGAGGGCTTTGCTGTCATTTTCCTGTGGTTTTTCTCTTTCTTAGGCAGCTCCTTCAGCTTTCAGCACCGCATTGCAAGCTCCAGATCAAATCCTGCTTTCACATACAGCACAGTGAGAGGATTATGGCCCCCCTTACCCTTTCCCATTCACTACAGTTTTATGAGTGGTGTTTTGTTTCAGTACAGAGGCATGCTGAGCCCTATGGACTACTACTCTGCACTTACATTCAGTTATTTCTACCTGGGCAGCTGGCACTTGTGACCTGATGGCGTTTTACAGACTTTACCTCATTGTTACTAACAATACAAAGGGCAAAAAGCAAGAGTAAGTAACTTGGACCCTGTCATACTGAATTCTATCATTTATATAGCATGTGAGCACACCTAAATCTCAGACTCTTCATTAGGGGCTGTAGTGATAGGAAAAGGGATAACGGGTTAAAACTTAAACAGGGGAAGTTTAGATTGGATATAAGGAGGAAATTCTTTCCTGTTAGGGTGGTGAGGCACTGGAATAGGTTGGCCAGGGAGGTTGTGAATGCTCCATCCCTGGCAGTGCTCAAGATCAGGTTGGACGAGGCCTTGGGTGAGATGGTTTAGTGTGAGGTGTCCCTGCCCATGGCAGGGGGGTTGGAACTAGATGATCTTAAGGTCCTTTCCAACCCTAACGATTCTATGATTCTATGATTCAAGAAATACATGAGAAATTTTCACAGAAGATAAGAATACACCTTAGGCATGAATTGTCCTTTCTCTTCTTGTGTTTTGCAAAATAAGCCCTTTGCAAATGCAAATAGGATGGCAGTAAATAAGATAATTCAGCAAAACCTAATTCATAAAAATGAAAATGTATACTCTCTTCCCTCTGGCAATATATTCCAATGTTTAAGTCAAGCTTCATATTTCTTTTAAACAGTCTTTAAACCTGCCTCAATGGAAAAGTTATTCCAAAGTTTGAAAATATCCGCTATCATATTATTTATGAACTCAAAATATTTTTCCAGGACCATATATTATTTCTAAGCTTGCTTCCCTGTGAGACCCATTATGAAATGAACTTTAAAGCTACAGTTAGAAGGTGAATTTAATACCAATCATATAAAGTTCCAGTCCTGCAAACACATTTGTGTCTAACTTTAAGCCAATGAATATTTCTACTAACTCAGTGGAAGTACTCCCACTAAAGTTAAGTACGTCTATTAAGTGTTTGGAGGCCTGGATCTGAAAGTACCACAATAATAATAACCGTAAGTAAATATTTGTACAGCCTTTCCTTTCTCTAAATGTTTAATTCTTTGAGCATCTTTAGGATTCCTAGCTAAGAAGTCTGTTTTGCAGTATTAAAAGTTTTGGAGTAAATCCATATGCTAGAACTCTGTAGACCTTGCCAATTTTGATTTACATGTGCAGCAACAGTTTCTGGGTTCTCTGTTTCTGGCTTGTATCCTTGCAACTTAAGATTAGTATGTTGTGTTCAACTTCATACAGACAAAGAAAATTTAGTAACTTCACTTACAGCATTATGAAATATAAATGTGTTGGGTTTGGTTTTGATTGAAACCAGAAACAGGACAAATAGCTGCTTATTTGGAAATTCTTAAAGGTAGGTCAAATTTAGAAAAAAGATATTTGTTTTGGAGAGGACAGTGTTTCCAACTTGTCTGGGCTGGAAAACCAGATCTTGACTGAAAACATTTAAATTCTTCTATAGACAGAAATTTGCAGTTAAATAAGTGTAAACATAATTTGACAATTTTTAAGTGTGTTTGTCAGCATAAGCCCATATTTCAGTTATAACCACCACACTTTGTTTTAAATATGGGCTTTTTCTCTTATCAGAACCAAAAGGAGACAAGAGGAAGGAAAATGAGTCATCTTTAACTATGCATTTCACAAGCACACAAACAAGCTATCAATTCTGCTTTATAAGATTCATTTTAAGTCAGAAATGTTGCATGTTAGATGTTCAATACATTTAGAAATAGGTATTTTTTATTATATATTACATGTTTCTTTGTACTCTGCTTCTGCACATGTGACAGACAGCCCATCAGCATTAGAGTTTCAGAGACTGCCAGAAGTTCACAGTAGATGTGTGTAAAGCACCTACAGCCCAGTTTTAAAGGAAGAAAAACAGCCACTTTGCAACCAAATTCAATACAGGAGAACTGAAAGCAAGTACAAGCTTGCCACTGTGGTCCCAGCTGTACTCATGGGTACATCAGTATCAGCTCTGTAGAAAGTGCTGTGCAAACATTAAGGTGAAGCATATTTCAAAAAGGTGCATTTAAGAGGATCCACTGATTTGTAAAAACGCCCTTTTGCATGCCACACAGAAGTGCATGAGTGAGGGTATGTGAGTGAGGGTCTGCGGTTAACACAAAAGTGGTGAGAGAAATGTGTCATTTTGCACATTTTGGGGGAGGGAGAAGCATGGCTGTGGCAAAGGAGCCAACTTCTTTTGGAATAAGAGTCATCTTAATGACAAGAAGATGCATTCATATACATGTGGAGACAAGAATGACTGTCACTGAGTGGATGTTAGCTGTACACATCTGGCCAGGATGCATTGACCATGACCAGAGGGGTCATTATAATAGGAGTTTCATCTCAGTTTAATTTGCTGAGTGTAACTGGTGCACAAATACTATGAAGTGATGGAATTCAATGCAACAAATACATTCATAGTATGTAATTTGTTATCTTCATTCTTAAGTAAACTTGCACTTCGGCTCAACATACAATCTCTCCAAAAGATCTCAGAATTTAATAATAATAATGCTGATATTTGAAATGACAGTAGGAAAGTTAAACAAAATCTAAGATTACAGGAAATACTGCATGACTGCTATTAGATGAATTACACCATCAATTAAATCAAAATCAACTGCCACATTCAGTGTCAGCAACAAAGAGAAAAGAAAGTATCCATTTGGATAAATCTAGATACTATTGCATTCTTAAAAGCAAACACCAAAAAACCAAGTAAAACCATGTTTCACAGTTGCCACAATGTTGTGACAAAAAAAGCCCTGCATCTTGAAAACTATTCTGAAAGTAGAATGAATTGTCATAAAATACTTCTATGCAGTAACGAATTCCCATCTTCTTGAAGCATACAAATGCCAGTTAATTCCAACTCTCCAAGCCCAACATCATACAGAGATCTCCCTTCTCCTGGCTTGCCAGTCCTCCTTCTTGCCACATTTCTGCACAAAAGTTAACATTAGGTCTGATGGAAGCGTTCTTTTAGATGATTCGTATCTTTTCATCAGGCTTCTAGAAAGAGTCTTATGTTTCTATTCTTATAGCTAGTGTTGCAGTAGACAAAAAGAGAAGAAAAAACATCATACAAGACAGGAGAAGATAGGGTTGCCAAAAATCTTTCTTCTTTGCTCCTCACCTTTTCCAGGCTGAGTTGTATTAGACGCTGGGATTGGTTTCCTTTCCAAAAATGAGAAATATAGGACAAACATTAGGATACCTTGCGTGACAAAGAGTTACAAAAAGCCTGTCACACCAACAGTCTCTGGGAAATAACCAGAGGAATATCAGTTCTCCTGGTTTTATTTCTTATAATTGAACCCAATCTCTAAAAAGCTTGCAGTGGTAACAAAATTCAATCTGCTAGAGTAAAAACCTTCCTTGGAGCAAAAAAGCTGTCTTCTATCCATCTAGCAAATTAATCTTTGCCAAGAAAGTATACATAGCTCAAAAATTAAACAAGATATTTTTGTTCCTAGCTACCCACAAAAGAACATCCTTCAATATTGTTTTGGAAATACTGCAGCACAATTAAGATAGAGCATAAATCTTAGAAAGAATATTTCCTGTAGCCTTTGAAATATTCTAAAGCAGCCTGAAGTGAAAGCAAAGCTCTTCACTGTTGCTTAATGCCAAGAGAATATTCCTGTCCAAGAAACCAATTTATGATTAAGATCTCACAGAAAGCAAAAAGTTCTCTTGTGTTTCAAAGACAGAAATATTACAATGCTTGCATATATTCTGTTTAAAGTAAAAGAGCATGCAGAAAGTATACCCAGTAACTGCAAACAGGCCTTCATGACCTGCTGGGAACGTTAACAGCTTTGGGCCATGCTCAGATTCCAGTTGTCAAAGTGATTTTAAAGTGGAAAGGAAATTTTGGGGCAAAGAAAGGAAAGTCATGAGAGAACACAGAGAAGGGTACAAAGGAGTTTTAATAATTAAGGGCCTCAAAATGCAGATAGTTTATTTCAACTCTACTATGAGAAAAATGTGGGAAATGAAGCAAGCCTGCAATTTCTCTCCTCTCTACCCAGTCAGGTTGTCTGAAGGAGCTCTTGAAGACAGAGGAAACTGTTCAAAGGTCCTTTTGTGGAGGACCTTGATCTCCCTGACATCTATCAGAGTGCACACTGGCTCAGCTTATTAACACAGAAGCAAAACCATGTTTGCACTAAAGAAGTCAGTAGTCAAATTCCCATTTAATCCCCTGACATTATCAAAGGTACTTCAGGAGTTTATCTCAAGGTATTTGGTAGACACACAAGGTTTCCATTCAGAGTCTGGAAATTCTTGCTTCTTGTCTCAGCATTTATTCTCAGAACTGGCCTAGTAGATGTGTTTATCTCCCCTTTGATAATGAAGACTTATGAAATGCCACTGGAGCTCTTCATATCCACTTACGGTATTCTCATTTCTGGTCTTTGCATATGTGCAAGTCTGAATCTTCCTGTCTGAGGTAAGGAGATACTATATGTGAGTAAATAACTGCACTGGATCCACAAAAAGATTGAGATCAATTCTTTGCAGCTCAGAAGGCCCCTTCACATTATGACCCCATTTTTTTTTTAGGTGAAACAGTTACAGAGACAAAAGCAAAATAAATACCTGAGGATAAGAGGAGTTATTTCTGAAACTAAATGATGTTTTCAATCTATGCAAGCTGATTACCACAGGATAGACCTTCATTTGTTAGAAATGGAGAAAAGTGAGAAAATGAGGATAGAAACCGTGTCTTCTTTACCAAATATTATGTAATAGTAATTTGATTTTTTAATAGCATCATATAAACAAGAAATAAAGTGATCAAAGTTCCAATCTTAAAAGTCACTATTATGGAAACAACATTAATGACACAAGGATTCTTCAAAGAGATTTCTAAAAATCATCAGTTTGGTAAATACAAATGTTCTAATTCTGGAAAGCTGGACAGCTGAAACATCATTTAGAAAAATACCCACAGCTAGATTCCAGACATTTTGAAATACAGTCTGTTCTGTACCTACATTTGTGTTCAAGCATTGCCAACTATGATTTTTAAAAGATGCATAAACTGCATGAGATTAAGTTGATTCAAATGGAAATGCCTCACAACCCCATAGCGAAATTATCATATTAGAGTATTCTCATTCAGT